ATTGCAGTGGTTTATTATCTGGGTGTCCAAATACTTCTTTAAAACGTCTTCAGTTGATCCAAAATGCTGCTGCCAGAGTCTTAACCAGAGTTAGTAGGAGAGATCATATCTCTCCAGTTTTAGTTTCTCTCCAATGGCTCCCTGTCAAATCCAGAATAGAATTGACCTACCGTTCCATGTTCATCTGTCTCTCCTTCCTGTCCTCTCAACCAGCCAGTCAAAGCAGATGGCCGCTTGTCCTGAGCCTGGTTCTGCTGGAGGTTTCTTCCTTTTAAAAGGGAGTTGTTCCTTTCCACTGTTACCACTGTGCTTGCTCAGGATGGGAGACTGCAACGAAGCCAAGATTCAACTTGTCTGCTGGATTCCTTAGATAGAGAACTTTACTAATTGGCTTTTATGTGAATGTTCCTGTAAAGTGCCCTGAGACAACTTTGTTGTGATTTGGTGCTATATAAATAAACTGAATTGAATTGAATTGAATTGAATTCAAAATCTTACTTCTACAAAGCTCTCAACAGCCTAGCTCCATCTTGTATTACAGATCTTATTGTTCCATATTTTCCTAACAGCGCACTTAACTCTCAGACTGCAGGCTTACTCGCGGTTCCTAGAGTTTCCAGAAGCAGAAAGGGAGGAAGATCTTTCAGTTATCAGGCTCCTCTCTTGTGGAACCAACTTCCAGTTTCTGTCCATGAGGTTGACCCATTGTCCAGTTTTAAGACTGGGCTTAAGACTTTCCTTTTTGATAAATCCTATAATTAGGGTTGGCTTGTTATGTTGCTATAGACTTAGGCTACTGGAGGACAAACTCATTTCTTGAAATTAATTTCTAAAATGTAACAGTTTTCCTTTGATACTACACTGCCTGGCCAAAAAAAAAGTCGCCACCAAAGAAAAAGGTCACACACTAATATTTCGTTGGTCCACCTTTATCTTTGATTACATCATGCATTCACTGTAGCATTGTTTCAATAAGCTTCTGCAATGTCACAAGATCTATTTCCATCCAGTGTTGCATTAATTACAACCAATCTCTCCAGGAGCTTCTGGACCTCCATGCTCCCTTTAAAGCAAGGCTGGTGTCTTTCTCCCGTTCAGCCCCTTGGTACACTGCTGAGCTGCGCAAGATGAAAGCAGCTGGCCGTGCTATTGAGAGACGTGTAAAATCATCTGGTCTCTCTGTACATCAGCAGGCATATAAAGAACATCAGAAAGCCTACGCCTTTTCTCTTAAAGAAGCACGGTCCAAATATTATTCCAACATCATCAACAACTGCCCTGGAAACTCTAAACAACTCTTCTCCACAATAAATCATCTCCTTAATCCCATTAAACAATCTCATGAGGACTCTGTTCAAAAATGCAACCTGTTCCTTTCATTTTTTAAAAACAAAGTTAACTCCATTAGATCTCAGCTCCATAGCCTCCCTGATCTTCATCTGCCATCTACCCGTCTGCATTCTGGGTCCCTGAGCTGCTTTGATGAGGTTGTTCAGAGTGAAGTGGAGACCATCATCAAGAAAATGAAACCTTCATCCTGCGCCCTGGATCCTTTCCCCTCGTCTCTCATTAAATCCAATCACTCTGCAATAAGCCCATTAATCACACAAATAATAAATAAGTCACTGCAATCTGGTCAATTTCCACTGCCTCTTAAAACTGCCATCATTAGGCCTCTTCTGAAAAAATCTAATTTGGATCCAGACATTCTTTCTAATTACCGCCCAATTTCTCACCTCCCATTTCTGTCAAAAGTGCTGGAAAAAGCAGTTGCTGCTCAGCTGCAGATCCACCTAGAACAACACTCCCTATATGAGAAGTTTCAGTCTGGCTTCCGTGCAGCTCACAGTACTGAGACCGCACTGCTGAGAGTCACCAATGATGTCCTCATGGCTGCTGACACTGGTTCTCCCTCCCTCCTTGTTCTCCTTGACCTCACTGCAGCTTTCGACACTGTGGACCACAGTATCCTCCTCCACCGTCTTCATGTGGAGGTCGGTCTCTGTGACACTGTCCTGGACTGGTTTAAATCTTTCCTCTCCAATAGGCTGGAATGTGTTAGTCTTGGCAATGCCAAGTCCCAGACTGTCTGTGTCTCCTGTGGTGTCCCTCAAGGGTCAGTTTTAGGGCCCCTGCTATTTTCCCTTTACATGTTGCCTTTAGGTCAAATTATTAATCAGTACAACATTTCTTTTCACTGTTATGCCGACGATACACAGCTTTACATCAGGACCGGAGCATCATCTTCACCACTGTCATCTCCATCTTCACTCGCTGCCCTCTCTACCTGCCTGGAGGAGATAAGGGCATGGATGAATCAGAACTTTCTTCAGTTAAACTGCTCCAAAACAGAGGCCATACTGATTGGCACCCCTCACCAGGTTCAAACTTCAACTATAACGACTATTTCATTTTCCGGACAAGACATCCCCCTCTCCACCACCTCTGTTACAAATCTTGGAATAAAAATGGACACTCATCTTACATTTGAAAATCATATTAAGCATCTGTTTAAAACCTGTTTCTTCCATCTTAGAAATATCTCCAAACTGCGCCCATCTCTCACTTTTGCTGATGCAGAGAAACTCGTCCATGCTTTTGTCTCCTCCAGGCTCGACTACTGCAACTCCCTGTTTACTGGGATCCCCGGCAAAAACCTTCAGAAGCTTCAATATATTCAAAACAGTGCAGCCAGGATTTTATTGAGAGCTCGTAAATTTGAACATATTACACCCATTCTCCATAACCTCCATTGGCTTCCTGTCACCTACAGAATTCAGTACAAAATTGCTCCCATCACCCATCAGTGTTTATATGGAAATTCACCAGATTATCTGAAGGACCTTCTTGCTCCATATTCATCCACCTGGTCCCTACGATCACAGAACAGTCATCTCCTCCACCTGCCACGAACTAAATTAAGGACCATGGGAGATCGGGCATTCTGTGTGGCTGCCCCCCGCCTCTGGAACTCCCTCCCTGAATATCTGAGAGCTCCACAATCATTGACTGACTTTAAAGAAGGCTTAAAGAGTTTTCTTTTTAAGCAAGCCTATTCTGCCTCCACATGATTGTATCATTGATTTTAGTTGTTTGTATCATTGATTTTAGTTGATTTTATCACAGATTTTAGTTGATTTTATCACAGAT